TTGGTACCGGTCTTGCACAGTAGGCTTTCCCCTCTAAAATCCCCTCCGGAAAACTGGCTCTAGAGTAGGATTCCCCCCCCCCTCCCCGGAATATAGGCTCTAGAGTAAGATTTCCCCACGGAAAAATTACTCTGGAGTAGGATTTCCCTACGGAAATTCCACACCAGATTCAATTTTCCGGGGAAAATCCTACCCTGTGTAGTAGTTGTAGAGTGCGATTTCCCCCAGAGCCAATTTCCCCCCACTAAAATATAATGACTGTACTTATGAGGGGGGATGGGGGCGGGGCGACAAATTGTTACAAGTGTCCCTTCTTCAAAATGGTGACCAGATGTATTGAAAAATACAAAAAATGTAAATTTTATTATCATTTTCTCTTATCAACCGTCCAACCAATTTTTTTAAAGCATTAAAATCTTATTCTTCTTTTATTATTTTAAAAAAAAAAAAATTAAAGTCCAAGAAAAATATCTCCTTGTTCACAATTTTTTAACAGTGATAATGTTATGCAGATTAATGCTTTAATGTGTTCTCTTTAACTCCTAACAAAATATGATTACTGACAGCAAGACAGCTTAAGACTTTATCATAATTTATTTTTACCCCAGCCATTTATCAAATGTTCGAATGATAATTATTAATTCGAAATCGATTTAAAACTTTTGTAATTTTCATTCCATAATTTCTCATACAAATGCTAAAAACAAGAACTCTAAATATTTTGTTTTAACGAGATAACAAACTTGTTATTATACTGCATGTATTGCAAAATTTTCACCCCAAGAAAACCATTGTCAAATGAGGCGCAGCTGGAATATCACCCGTCGTCAAGCAGTGTTAACTGTTGCTACGCTGGAGGGCGTGGCTTACTTATTCAGCGCGTAATAGTGTTTTTAAACGAATATTTCTCGACGAATCAGATCCAACTAATTTACCTGAAAATGTAATATAAAGAGATAACTATCTCCTCGTTATAACTAGATAGTTATATAATTTTAACGAGATAAAGATCTGGTTATAAATAGATAACTAACTCGTTATGAAATAATTAATTCGTTTTAACGAGATACTAACTCATTCTTTTTACATTGGATTCAAGCAACATACAAGAAGTAAAAGGTATATATAAATGAAATTCTTCGAAAACATCTGTAAACTTTAGATAGCCTTGATGTTACTGCACATTAAAAATATGTGACACATACAAGTACCGCTATGCCATTAGAAGTGTTAAGACATCGAATCTGAGGAGTTTTACATTCTTTTTAAAAGCTAAATATTCGGGTTTAAACTCCTGATTGGAAAGAGGGTGTTGCAGTTCTTTTGTTATTTTCCCTAAAGCTGTAGCAGTTTAAAAGAAAAATTTTAAGTAACAGAAAACAGTCTTATTTTTTTTTTCAGATACAACAGTATATACAGCACAATGTAGAACAATATTTGCAAAATGCATATCGACTACCAATTTGCCATTAAATGAAGTGTAAGTTAGTCACATAGCAAAATAAGTCAAGTTTTCTGTTTTTCAAATAGGGAATCCCCATTGTTCTGAAAAATTGCCTCCTTGAAACAAAATGCATTTGATATACGCATAAAGAGAAAGGAGTTTTCTTCAAATCTGCCATTTCCGATTTTTGAAAGAGGCATATTTTTGAAAATCACAAAAATCGAAGAAAAATTATTATTCACCCAAAATACAAAGTGTGTACATAAAATAGCACACGATTATTCAGTGTCGGAGATGGTCTAGTGGTAAAGCGTGTGGACTCTATGCGAATATTCCTTTTACCTGAGAATGGGTTCGAATTCTGGAATGGCTGGTATATATATATATTTTTTCTTATACACTATAATGAAAGTACAATGTAAAAACTCTCTTGAGAGAGAAAGAGAGAGGGAGAGAATGTCAGACAATTGATGGGTAATATTGTAAATGCATGCAGAATTAAATTGTTTTCTTTGATACTGTCATCTAAAACTAATAAGACATACATTTAATGTTATTATTTAGTGGCAATGTCTTAAAAAATCTAAAGTACTATCATTTTAAATAATTTATTCATATTCATTTCGTTTCATTATTGTTCTGTTAATTAGTGGCTCAGATTTGACTTGAAACAACCAAATAGAAATGACTCAATGGAATTTCTTGGATATTGCATCAATAGCTTAATTATTGGACACATTTGAAAAATATTAACGCATGCTTTTTACAATACATCTTTCAGAATGATGTTTAGGAAAAACTATGCATAATGTTTAACATAAAATGTGAAATGTTTCGTCACAACAAGCTGTATAAATAAAGCCATCTACGTAGCATTATCGATATTTAGAGATAACTATTCATGCGTCGTGGGTATTTAAGTGTCCTGCTCGATTTAGGGAATAATCACGAGTTTCTGCAACACCCTCCATGCGCTTAGAAAAGTCGTACTACAACTGAACAGTATATAAGCCGAAAAACACTCATTTACCATATAAAAATCAGTTTCTCGTTTTTTTTTCACAAAATATTGCGGCTGTGGTTTATATTGACTCTATAACGAGGAGGGATATCCTACTCTGAGAAAGAAAGAGGGGGAAATTTGGCTCTGGTGTGAGATTTCCCCTCGGGGGGAGATCCTACTCTAGAGTACAATTTCTGGGGGGAAAGCTGGCTATGGGGGAAATCCTACTCAACAAAACCGGTACCTGTAAATAATATTCCTCCCCAGAATCGCTAAGATCTGCATTCTCCTTTACTTCTGTAACAGTTTCTTTGTTGTTTTCTTCCTTCTCCTGTGTTGGTTGTGCTTTCTTTAATCTTGGTTTGGATTTTGGATTTTCTGGAACAATCTGCTGCTGGTCTGGGTCCATGCATCCTATTAGCAACATAATATATTGCAATGTAGAGTTCTTGTTCTTCCAAGGCCATCTTCTCTTTATACTTTATAAACCGGAATGTCAGGGTTTGGTTGTTTGACGATTATGTATGCCTCTTCCTCCCATCTATCCGCAATCTTTTGCTTACCGTAAAAAGCCACAATTTTCACTAAAACTCGGTCAACTGGTTGTAAATTAGCACATCTTACCTTGCGATCATAATACTTACCATGCTTTGTTCTTGCTTTTGCTGCTGCTCTTAATGCCAACTGACCAATGGAATTTATGATAATAGACAACACCCTTATTTATAAATTGACTAGCTAATCCTTAAATCTACCTTAACCCATAGTCTTTGGCTTAAACCATTATTTAAATAGAAATGTTTATGATTTTAAACATATATAAATAAATAACTATATATATATATATATATATATATATATATATATATATATATATATATATATATATATATATATATATATATATATATATATATATATATATATATATACACACTAGTATATATATATATATATATATATATATATATATATATATATATATATATATATATATATATATATATATATATATATATATATATATATATATATATATATATATTAGTAATGCGCAGCGCCTTTGTAAATGTGTGGATGAATAAATGAATGAAATTCCTGAAATAAAATATATAAAGCATTAATTAAAATAAAATAAAACTAAGTACAACTAGGTATCACATAATCACCATTGTCCTCGCACGTGTAATTCCTAGGCGGAAGAAAAATTATTTCAAGTTCTTGTCTTAATATTTCTTAAAGGTGCTTGGACACAGATTTGAAGTTAATATTTTCTCACTTTTTCTGTATATTTCATGACTTATATGTTGCTATAGCATTTCATACTAAAATAAAATAAAAATCTTATTTCATCTCGAAGTTATTAACTTCAAATTTCTGGACGCGTTTGATTGACACATCCTTGCACTTTCACAAATTTTGATTTTATTCTTAATACTTAAGAAAAGTGGCAATTTTGTTGTGTATTAATGAAAAATATTAGAACTATAATCCAGAAAATTCAGAGTAGAAATGTTCGAAAGCAAAACCCACTCACAGTATTGTCAATCCGTGCTCAGTGGTGTGTGCAGACTTTAACAATTGAACACACCCGGTGAATCGTATACATTAACAATAACAGAGCTCGTGCCCTGTGTACAAAAACAGTTTACGTTTCACGGGTGTATTTAATTTGTTAAACTCTGTACACAACACTGAGCACGGGCTAACGATATTAGTGAGAGGGTTTGCTTTCGCACATTTCTACTCTGAATTTTCTGAATTATAGATGTAATGTTTTTCATTAATACACAACAAAATCGCTTCTTTTCTTAAATATTAAGGATAAAGATAAAATTTGTGAAAGTGCAATGACGTGTTAATCAAACTCGTCTAGGAATTCGTACTTCTAATAATTTCTAGATAACATAAGTTTTTAATTATATTTTCGTGCGAAATGCTATTGCAATATATAAGTCGTGATATTATACAGAAAATTTGAGAAAACATTAGCTTCAAATCTGTGTCTAAGCACCTTTAAAATACAATTCAAAAACCTTTCAAGGAACTCACTTTTTAGTGGCAAATCCGTAAGGGATACAAGACGGTTTATATGACAGATACGGGACTGGGACGAGGTGCAAAGCACCGATTCTCAGTCCCGTATCTGACATAATAGACCATCTCAGTTTTGTATCCCTTACGGGAGGGATGAATAGTTTTTGAATAAAAAACCCTTACTGAACCCTAATCAAATATTAGTTGTCGTTGTGGCACTCTACGGATGCGTTAATTAAAAAGATCTGAGCAACTTCATGAGATTAAGCGATTCTGAGGGTATTGTGAAGGATCTATTTTTTTTTAACAGATGAAGATTATGTGACCAGTAGACAAATATTCCAGGAAAGCGCCGTTTTTGTCCCTGGGATGTTGAAAGCGCGACATTTTTATGTCATCAATAATAATTGGAATTAAATTTTCCGAAAAAAAATTGGAGTTTTATGGGATAAGAAAATTTAGTTTAAGATTGTTATTTAAATTTTGATAATGATATGAAAAGATATTCTATTACAGATGTAGAATCCCTGGTTTAGACAACGACACTTATAAAATACAAAGTGAAAATCACCAGCAGTTAATCAACTTGACAATACCAAGAAAGCTAGACGGTGACTATGAGGAGTGCATGGTGGTTTCTAACGGCTCTCTGGAAACGTGCAACGACTGGGTGTACGACACATCTATGTTCCAAAGTACAGTCAATTCACAGGTAGGAGTGACGCTTAAATTATTTAGATTTTATGGTAAGGTTTTTGCTAAAAATACAAGTAACATCAAAAATCGCAAATAATTAGGCCGGATTTCATCCACTCTTTCAGAGCGACCAAAGGATGACTGCACTTAAGGATATGCGAAATCTGCGACAAAATAAACTTTCAAAACAAGCATTTTTCTTTTCATTGCAAGAATGGCCAACATCCAATCTACAACTTTATGTAATTACGTTTATAATAAAAGTGTGTATTTACGAAGTTCGAATCTGTTTTCAAAGGCAGGGGTCATCACAATTTCTTGAATCTCCGTACGATAATGAGGACGCCCACTTTTTTACTGACTTTATACGTAGTCAGCGCATGTTTGTCTATTGTTCTCCGTTTCACAATAGTTGTATATTTGCATAGATAATAATGTGTCAAAAGGAGATTAATAGACAAACATGCGCTCATGGTTAAAAAGAGAAAAAACTGCTTCTTCTTACATTCGCTCTCTGTGTTGTAAACAAGGATTGCGACATGTTGAATATTATAATTCACCACGTGATGTCCTACCTCAGGTAACTCTGTGAATACTAAATTCCGTCACGTGACTTGTAAGGTAGCATGTTTTGTGCTAACTAGGACATTGTGTTCGAATACGTTAAGTCATCTGGCATGGATATACAATCTGCTTTAATTACATTGACGTGCTCATATTGTTAGCTTCGTTTTGAAACCTTTGTCAGAAGTGTATTTGTGCCATACAGAATGGAGAGGGAGATTGGAAAGATTGACCACATTCTTTTTTTCAAACATGTCATTGTTATTTATCAAGTCTAATTTTAGACCCATATTTACAATGTTAGCTCCACCTCTTATGCATATCTAATGTTCATTCAAGGGCAGGTAAGTGTAAATTCACTATATTTTGAAAGCACTAAGGACAAAAAACATTGAATCATTTTATTGTATCACAGTCTAAAATCATTTTAAGATTTAAATTTGGTTCCAAATTGACAGGATTCTTTCATAAACATACAAAAATGAAATAAAGTTTAGATATAAAAGCAACAGAAGCAACCGAAAAAGACCCAAAAACAGGCGTTAAGTGCAGTCATCCTTTACATTCATTCATAAACAACAAAAAATATTTATGAATGACTCTTGCCCTATCTCCTATATCACACATTTCGGGCCCTGCTCTAAGGGTGATATATAACGATCATAAAATGATCAGTCAATTTGCCCGGAATATATTTCTTTCTTTTTTGGCCGACCTGTATTTTACCAACAGTGGGTTGAGATTGTGCAAAGGGAATGATCCACGTATCTATGTAAAAGGCCAACACAGTTCACTGTGTAAAATCATTGTCTAGGGTGAAATATATGGGTATATTTTTCCTATTTGTCCATCGTCATCGGGTAAAGGATGTGCAGGTACCTTGAATCAAATTTCTAGATCGTTGTTAAGGTCGAGACAAATCTTTGAGTAAAGTCTTAGTCTGGCATATATATTTCCTGCCCATTGAAGCATTTTTGCTCACACTCCATAGAGGTCTTAGTCTAAGATTCTAGGTCAAAATCAAATGTGTTTGTGAAACACTGATGCCCCCGTATGGCAGCTTATGGCGAAGGTTAAAGTTTCTCAAATGCAAGTCAAAATCCAGGCCAAAAGATAAAAAATGTTAAATTTGAAAGCCCCAGCTGCAACTGTTCAAAAGTTAGGGCGAATGCTAAAGTTTTTTAAAAGTAAGTAAAACATCAAGGTCAAGGTCAAAGTTGTTGGTATCCAAAGGAAGGTCTTGTCACAAGGATTACATATGTGAAGTATGAAAGCCCTAGCACCAACCATTCAAAAGTTATGGACAAGGTTAAAGTTTTTCGAAAGTAGGTCAAACTCCAATGTCAAGGTCAAAGTGGTTGGTATCCAAAAAAAGGTAATGTCACAAGGATTACATATGTGAAGTATGAAAGCCCTAGCATCAATCATTCAAAAGTTACGGCCAAGGTTAAAGTTTTTCAAAAGTAGGTCAAACTCCTAGGTCAAGGTCAGCAGGTCAAAGTGGTTGGTATCCAAAAGAAGGTCTTGTCACAAGGATTACATATGTGAAGTATGAAAGCCCTAGCTCTAACCGTTCAAAAGTTACGGCCAAGGTTAAAGTTTTTCAAAAGTAGGTCAAACTCATAGGTTAAGGTCAAAAGGCCAAAGTGGTTGATATCCAAAGGAAGGTCTTGTCACAAAGATTATATATGTGAAGTATGAAAGCCCTATCTCTAACCGTTCAAAAGTTATGGCCAAGGTTAAAGTTTTTCAAAAGTAGGTCAAACTCATAGGTTAAGGTCAAAAGGTCAAAGAGGTTGATATCCAAAGGAAGGTCTTGTCACAAGGAATAGACATGTGAAGTATGAAAGCCCTAGCTCTAACCGTTCAAAAGTTATGGCCAAGGTTAAAGTTTTTCAAAAGTAGGTCAAACTCCTAGGTCAAGGTCAACAGGTCAAAGTGGTTGGTAACCAAAGGAAGGTCTTATCACAAGGATTACATATGTGAAGTATGAAAGCCCTATCTCTAACCGTTCAAAAGTTATGGCCAAGGTTAAAGTTTTTCAAAAGTAGGTCAAACTCATAGGTCAACGTCAAAAGGTCAAAGAGGTTGATATCCAGAGGAAGGTCTTGTCACAAGGAATACACATGTGAAGTTTGAAACCCCAAGCACCAACTGTTCAGAAGTTATGGCCAAGGTTAAAGTCTCATAAAATTTTGCAAAAGTGGGTCAAACTCCAAGGTCAAGGTCAAAAGGTCAAATATGATGGTACCCAAAGAAAGGTCTTGTCACAAGGAATACACATGTGAAATATGAAAGCCATAGCTCCAACCAATCAAAAGTTATGGGCAAGGTTAAAGTTGACAACAGACAGACAGACAAACAGATAAACAGAGAGACAAACAGACAGACAGGACAAAAAACAATATACCCCCGGGATCTTTCGATCCGGGGGCATAATAAAATATATTCTCTTCCCTTGGCCTAATCTGTCTCATATTTTACTAATTTAAAGACACTGACAAAAATAAATAGAGAATTTAAATTGGAGGTGACGTAAGTTAGCCTCGTATGCTGTCCTCCAGCTACAATGGCGCCCCCTCTAATCACTACCATCTGCAATTTCTTATCTTCACTCTTCAGAAAATTAACCACTTTTTACGTGAACATGTGGTACAATAGAAAGCAAGGTTCAAATCAGAGATACATGTAGGTTGATAGTATGTAAACAATTATTAGTCTGGCCGAACCCCCAATCGGAGGTAAACGGGAAATATGAAAACCAAACCCCTAAACGGGGGTACGAGCATGCGTAGATGCTTAAAAATGTGTATACATTTATTCATTACTTTGGTTTGAACATATTTTATTGTATTTCTAATAACAAAGGGATTGGGCACAAGTTCTAGAAACTTATTACACCCTCTCCCTACATGTAAATTACAAAGATTAAATAAGGTCACAGTTAATTACGTACATTCAAAATATTCAATATTTGTGAAATTTACAAATCAATGCATTTTAAAGAATCATACATATAATTTTGTATATACATGTATATATAAATAAATATATTTTCATTAATACTAATCCTAACATGTGAATCTGCCAGAATGTTTAATAAAAGTTTGAACAAAAGAGAAAATTAAGACGTTCAATCTCCGCAGCACTCATTGAATCTATCCCCCATAATAAAACAAGTGTATATAGAATGTGAATTTTATCAAATAATAAAAAATTATCAAACTTAGAAAAGTTCATGTAATGAATTGCTGGGTCAATTTTAATTTAAGAGAAAAGTTGTTAATTGACAAAGAAAAAAATCTTTGGAAATATAATTTTGTAACATTTTAAATAAATACCTTTGATTATTCTTCATGGTATTGACAATGTAAGGAAGTTTGAATAAAAGACAATTGGGCCAAAAAAAAATCAGTTAAAATTTATTTTCAAAATATACCTTGAAACTATTTCTTGACATGTAAAATCAAATCTTATGAATGAGTTGTCTTTAAGTTGAACATTTTACGAAAGAGCAGCGAAAATGAATTTCCTTGTATTTTACCAGTAGAACATGTATAAAGAACGTGAAATATGGAGATATCAAATAGCATTCAAGCTCACAGTCCATTTAAACAATACAAATCGGGAGCAGAGCAAACAAGGACCTCCAAAAAACGTCATAGGCGGGATCAGGTGCCTTGGATGAGTAAGCATCCCCTGTCGACCGCTCACACCCTCAGTGTGCTCCTTGTCATGATCGGGTAAACCGAAAAATCCGTAGAAATTTCAGTGTATAAATAATGGCCAAGCAATTAGTATGAAAAACATCAGTCAGCATTTGACCTAATGATAGATTGTATTTGCTGATAAGGTCATTGTATTGACCATATAACTTGCAAAATGATGACTTAAAACGAGACTGTTGATATCCTTGTTTCATCAACTTGTTGGTTAATAGCTTGCCTCGTTTTAAAAATTGATCGTACGTAGAGCATGCTCTTGCGTGTCGAATTAACTAGGAGACATAAAACGTCTTGAGGATTGGTTTATCTTTGATTTGAGCATTTTAATGGCGATACCTGAGCGGTGAAAATTCATGTATTTGAACATTTTAAAAGATTGGACATTTGATATTTTCATATGTTATATATCTATCTTTCTATCTCTCTCTCTATCTTTCTATCTCTCTCTCTCTCTATCTATCTATTTATCTATCTATCTAGCTAGCTAGCTAATCTCAAAGCTTCACATAATGTAAATCTTTCATCCAATCATCTAATTTCATAGTTTTTAATAAATTTAATAAAAAAATATCAAGCAAATTGAATCACATTGTTTACTTCATAAAGAAAACTCATGGCTTCTTCATTTAAATCACCCATACGCAAGATTTGAAACACCATTTCTTTGATTGAAATTAATCATTTAAATGTATTAAGTAATGTAAATTACATCAAGGGTTATCCAATGAATACATGAATAATATTTTCAAACCTTTTTCTTGATACTTTCATTCAAATTTCACCTTTTTTCTTGAGTAATTGAAAACTTTCAGTACTACCCAGTATTACTTTAATGAGAAAAATTTTTGGTATATAAAGAAATATAAAGATAGAAATCATTTAATGGATATTAAAATTCTTTACACCCAATCAAATTAGCAGAGAAAATTTTGTATGAAGAAAATGTTTTGCTTAGAAATTCAAAGTTTTACGAAAGGTCAATGGTATGATTTGTGCAAATTTTGTTCGAGATCTCGTATGTGCTTCCAGAGCGATTTATAGTAAATCGAGCGTTCACATTCCAATAAAAAATGTCTAAAATATATGTAAGCGCCCGAGGGGTGCTAGCAATGAAGATTATTCATGTAATATTAATACTAGTATTTTTTTTTTAAATACAACCAACAAAATTGTGGAAAAAATTGGGGAAAAGTGGTGTCTCCCTAAATGTTGGGTCATTGTAAATAATATTTTTATTTTTAAAATCTATTAATCTTCAGTCACAGATGCGCTTGTGGCGGACGCATTTATTTCAATAAAGGTGTGTTAAGTGAAATATTCCAAAAAGAGGATTAACAGCAAGTATAACACCTGAAAGTGGCGTTTCAAATGTATTGCAAAGTATTTTGATAGTTGTATCAATAATTTCCCATCGAGTGAAACCTTGCAGCTACAAACTTTGAATCTAAACGTTGACACAACAAAGATCCCTCACTGCTACGAGCATAAGTTAAGCACCATGCATATGGCAAAATTTGTGGCACTTCACCTTAAAGTTGTTGACGTCTTTACATAAACGAAAAATTCTCAAATGGCACGTTAACAAACATACAATAAATCAAAAATACCTAGAGTAAATATTCACCCGATTTATTATGCATTTGTGATTTAGGAGTCGTATTGACGGACCTCGCTCACTGTATTTTTTAACATAAGATGTTTAAAGCAGCGTTGGAAATCATTACTCTTTGGACTTACTCCAATTGAAATAAGATCTGTCTAATTACGAGTCAAAAAATAACCTGATCTAAGTCATAATGAATATGAACTTGCCAAACAATACTGGGTTGAATTTTCTCACCATCCACAAGGCAGCAAAAAAGGCAAATAAAGAAGTTTTATATTCTGGCACAAAAATTTTTCACTCATATAGAGACATCACCATATATCCCCGGTACCGGTGAAGGGCTTCAAATTTAGACCTTTACTCGGCGCTCAGGGCCATTGAGCAGTGAGGGTTCTTTATCGTGCCAACGTCTACCGTAAAACGGGGCCTCGGTTTTTAAGGTCTCATCCGGAGGACCCGCAACTTTCACTTCAAAGTGCCAAGCGCTTGGCGAAGGAACAGTTGCTACCCATTTTTTTTTCGACTGAGGTCAGTCGCGACTGTTTAGGGTTTGAAAGTATATAGTTAAAGAGTAATTTAGGAACAAATGGTTTGTAATATTTTGATATGACTACTGAAAAACGGAGAATTAACTCTCAAATAATGTACATTTTTTGTGCGCAACGATGAATACATGGAACTGTAGTAACCTGATTGCCCCCTTTTTTTGACTAATGAGCTACAGATCTGAAGGTATTTTGTGTCTAGAATGCTTCACATGATTAAATAAAATTTCAATTCAGTTGAAAAAATGTCTAAATGAGCCTGCTTTGAGGGAAGATATCAAGGAGAGGGTATTATGATTGAAATAAATGCTAGCTCTATCAGTGATAAATGTTGTCTGCTGGTATTTCAAAGATACATGACACATGAGAAGTTTGTTTAAACATACATATCAGATACTATTTTTATAGTAAGTAACAAAATGCATTTTTTTTGTTTGTGTGTGTCTGTGTGTGTGTCTTTTTTTGTTTGGTTGTTTGTTTGTTTTGCTCTCCAGTGGTTTTCATTAGGGTTTCTCATCGATATAAGCTTTTGCATATACCAGTTACATTCGGGACGGATATCACATTTTACAGCATCACATTTTACAGGAAGACGTTACCTTGATTCAGAACTCTCAGTAATTTGATTGGTTATCTGATTGTGTGTATTGAGTTCAAAATTGTCAGAAAACTTAATGATATTTTATTTTATTTCTTTTATTTTCATTTAGTACAGGTTCATTTTAAATATCAAACATTAAAGCAGGCACATTTTACATTTAGTTTAACCTGGTTTGTGACAAGAAACTGATGCGTTCCCATGCAGTGATGGCGTATTTTATTGGTACCGTTGTGTCAACTATTGTGTTTGTTCCTCTCGGAGACATGTAAGTGACTTGAAGAGGTAACAAGTTCTTGCAGACACTTTATCACTCCGAGACTGAGACAGTTGATGTAAATGCTTGTGAATTTATATTTTAGATTCAGGTACATGCGAGTTAGATTCTTTCTTAACTTCTTAACTGCTTCAGTATCTGTTTTAAATGTAATTTTCAGAATCTATTGAGAACTGAGAGTTAAAATCAGTATTACATTACGAACAAGAATTCCAAAACTCAGGGTTTGCTTTTTAAACCACATTTATAAAAGCCTACTGTTTTTCTTAAAAAGAATGTAGGGATGCAATACGATATACATTGTACATGTATTATGATGTGTGAAGGTTTGTTTTCTGCAGAGTGGGCCGTCGATACATGGTTTGTGTAAGTACAACCCTAACCTTCATTGCCAACATAGCTATGCCATTCTCCATCAACATTTATATGTTCTCCGTATGTCGATTCTTTGATGGATTTTGTGGGAACTGTCTATATATGGCTTCTTTTATCATAGGTGGGCATTTTCTTACCTTTTGATGTTCAAAATATAAATTATTAACCTATATACCTTTTACATCAGATAATATCTATAAGGCAAATTTGTAACAGGCATGGAGTTTGTTGGACCAAAGAACCGTATTTTAGCGGGCACCTGCATACTTCTAGTGTATTGTCTGGGCGAGTTTATATTGCTCTTACTGGGGTTTTTAATCCGGGACTGGAAATGGTTACAATTTACGCTAGCTGTCCCTATGGCCATACCACTGTTATATTGGTGGTAAGTATCAGTACACCATAGCTTCGTGCATTGAATTAATTTTATTTATCGATCGATCCGGAGAGAAAGAGAGAGAGGTAGGGGTTTAAAACACTCTCCCTTAAATCTGTAATTTTAGGATATCTTTCTATGCAATAAGATGACATTGTGTTGTACGTTTTAGGCCTAAAGTGCTGCCAGAGTCCCCTCGCTGGCTGGTTTCTAGAAAGAGATACAAAGAGGCCTTGAAAATTTTGCGAAATGTCGCCAAAGCAAACCATGTTGAATTCAACAAAGACCTTTCAGGCGTAAAGATCAGAAATGATGAAGGGATTCTAAAAATTCTTAAGGAACTTCTCAAATCTCGAAAACTGATGTTTCGTTCCACCATAATGCTTTCTAACTGGTACAAAATGCTTTTTATGTACATGTATATAAAATAAATTTAGAACCCATTCTCACATCAATAAACACAGAAGAAACATTGAGTAGTTTGATTTTTTTAACAGTTAAGTGTCCTTTACGGAATTCTGTTCTCTTTCTAGGTTTGTGATCTCCTTTATCTACTATGGGCTTACCTTGAACATGGGAAAACTTGCTGGGAACTTGTTCATTAACTTTGCTATCGGCGTGACAGTGGAAGCTATGGGGTATTCGTTGTGTTTTCTGATGAATAAAACTGGCAGAAAACCGATGCACCTTGTAGTGATGTTTGGTAGCGGATTCGGATGTTTGCTTTCCATTTTACCAGCTCTTTTCTTCGATTCCTGTAAGTATTTTACTTTCAACCCATTTTGAAATGATACAAGTATGTAAAAAAAACTGCCATAACCATTTATTGAATAACCCATATCATATAATTTATTTTAAACATTCATCTCATAAAATAGATTTTTTTAACATGTTTTGTCATTGCCATGTGAATCATACGCTTTGTAATGTTGCCAAAGTGCTTTAACCTGTGCATATGGAGCTGTTGTTTTTCAGGTAGCCCACATTTTATTGACTTTCTTTCTAGCTTTGACATGGCTTTTAGTCGCTTTTGCGATGGTGGGCAAGTTTGGGATATCGGCAGCGTTTGGTGAAATCTACATTTACACAGGAGAGCTGTTCCCTACTGTCGTTCGAAGCTTCGTTCTTGGTTTCTGTGGAGTTGGAGCGAGGCTGGGGGCTACTATCTCTCCTTATATTTACCACTTTGTTAGTATGATTGCGAGCTTGTCTTACCTACGTAGAAATTCATTACTGTTGCATATTTTAGTGTAAACCAGTTACATTCCCAAAATTTTAAAAGGCTATTCTGAACACACTTTTGAACGAAGATTTTTTCACAGATATTGTGATATGATATAACGCATAAGCAGAATTTTTAGCGAGGATTCAATTTTGGCAACATTAGCGAGGGTTTTGAGATCACTTAAATTGAACATCTCTAACAATTTATACTGTATCGGTTGTTATAGCTATCGTTCTTGACATTATAAAATCGCTAGAATTACTTCTCGCTAAAAATAAATACCATTTTTGAGGGATAAATCGGTAAATTTCCGTCTCGCTAAAAATTCCACTTATACTGTAACAATCGAAGTTTGTCCCTTATAAGGGTTCCACCCCCTAGTTTTGGCAATAGCAAATTATTTTTAAAGGTAATTTCATAAGATATTTAAGTTTTGTAATTTCCACTGAAGCTTTATCTTATAGTATTTGATACAAAAACTTGTTGCAAACCAGTATGACACAATTTATCCAAGCGGAAATACAAAATTTTGGAATCGACCATGATGCACACGAGGGAGTAGTCGTTATTTGAAGAAATCCTCCGCGTGTAGACTTCCAAGTCGATTTAGAAAATATGTCACGCCATTATATCATTGATGACAAATCATGAATAATGATGAATCCCTGTCCAAAGTGGCAGTCATTATCGTAATGATAAAATTGTGCTGTTGTCTCAATACACTACTTGAATCCCAGAAAGTGTTTCATAGCATAAAGTCTGGGGGGGGGGGGGGGGATTTCCTTCATCGAACCTAGTTTGAGATTTTTTTTGTATGTTGCAAAACGTGATTTTTGGTGCCTTTGGATAGACTATACATTAATGATTCAGAATTTAAGCTTATTTTATGCGTTCAATTTTAACCCACTGATCTGTATCAAATCCCGTCAGATCCATATTAATAAGGAAACCTCCCCTCAACGCTTTCACCGACGTTTATCAAAATCCTGTCAGATCTAATGTGTTGTCGAAACCTCCCCTCATCACTATCGCCGACCTGTAATCAGAATCCTGTCAGATCCATTATATAATGTCAAAACCTCCCCTCATCACTATCGCCGACCTGTAATCAGAATCCTGTCAGATCCATTATATAATGTCAAAACCTCCCCTCATCACTATCGCCGACCTGTAATCAGAATCCTGTCAGATCTAATATAATGTCAAAACTTCCCCTCATCACTATCACCGCCCTCTAATCAGAGTCCTGTCAGATCCATTATATAATGTCGAAACCTCCCCTCAACGCTATCACCGACCTGTAATCAGAATCCTGTCAGATCCAATGTAATGTCAAAACCTCCCCTCAACGCTATCACCGACCTGTAATCAGAATCCTGTCAGATCTAATATAATGTCGAAACCTCCCCTCAACGCCATCACCGACCTGTAATCAGAATCCTGTCAGATCTAATATAATGTCGAAACCTCCCCTCAACGCTATCACCGACCTGTAATCAGAATCCTGTCAGATCTAATATAATGTCAAAACCTCCCCTCATCACTATCACCGCCCTCTAATCAGAGTCCTGTCAGATCCATTTTATAATGTCGAAACCTCCCCTCAACGCTATCACCGACCTGTAATCAGAATCCTGTCAGATCCAATGTATTGTCGAAACCTCCCCTCAACGCTATCACTGACCTATTTCAGAATCCTATCAGATCCATTTTATAATGTCGAAACCTCCCCCTCAACGCTATCACTGACCTATTTCAGAATCCTGTCAGATCCATTTTATAATGTCGAAACCTCCCCCTCAACGCTATCACTGACCTATTTCAGAATCCTGTCAGATCCATTTTATAATGTCGAAACCTACCCTCAATGCTATCACTGACCTATTTCAGAATCCTATCAGATCCATTTTATAATGTCGAAACCTCCCCTCAACGCTATCACTGACCTATTTCAGAATCCTATCAGATCCATTTTATAATGTCGAAACCTCCCCCTCAACGCTATCACTGACCTATTTCAGAATCCTGTCAGATCCATTTTATAATGTCGAAACCTACCCTCAATGCTATCACTGACCTATTTCAGAATCCTGTCAGATCCGTTATATAATGTCGAAACCTCCCCCTCAAGGCTATCATCGACCTGTATGAGAATCCTGTCAGATACATTTTATAATGTCAAAACCTCCCCCTCAACGCTATCATCGACCTGTATGAGAATCCTGTCAGATCCATCTTATATTGTTGAAACCTCCCCTCAACGCTATCACTGACATTTCAGAATCCTGTCAGATCTTTACCTTTTCACATTTTACAACTTTACCAAAACTACGCTACGAAAATCAGTAAATCATCCTCAAAAGCATATTATTGTGAAGGAGATTCAGTTTTGTTAAAAGAGAACGTAAGTTACGAAGAAGAAATGGCATATGTAGCGCAGATCACAAACGAATTTAGTCACTTTCCCCTAAAAAGTAAAGTAAGAGTTTTTTCTCGAAACACCAATGAATGAATTAACTTTCTCTAATAATAAAAGGTATATTTTTACAATTTTCGGAAATTCTTGGGCATATATCGAAAACGTGTTACATACCATGTCTAACAGTATAAATGTTGGCATCACAAAGTTAATGCATTTAAAAAAAAAACTACGCTGACAGTACCTAGTAAGAAGCTGTTTTGGCATAGTGAACAAAAAAGTCCGTCGTGTCATGTACACGCCTGTGGCTACATTTGCCGGTGATGTCTCGTGTTATTAGTCCCCTACCGGTGAAACCGGAGGGAACTATAGGTTTCCTCTGAGTCTGTCCGTCCGTCTCTCTGTCTGTCCTTTTCCGTCTGTCTAGCTGTCTGTCTGTCCCTCTGTCTGTCTGGCAGTCTGTCCCACTTGGTTTTCCGCACTTTTTTTCTAAACGCTTGCAGATATTGAGGTACGTGACTTTACCTTGATGAGTTACAGATCAAGTTTGAATTTCGTTCCGCTTCATTGATTTTTGACAGAATTATGGCATTTTCAATTTTAACGGGGACCAGTTTACACTTGCCGGTAGGGGACTAGTATTGCTAATGCAATACTCTCAGAATGCTTGTTTAATATGATTGGCTTAGGCTGATCACAAAAACAAATGGTGACAATGGGGTAGACATGACGGCGCGTAAGAAAGAACTTTTCAAAAAGTACAGATTTAAAGGGTTTTTAAATCATGACTCGAAATTGTTGGAACAAAATATGGGTACAAGGTTTTAACATAGGAACATATGAAAAATACTTTTAAAATTGTCCAAGCTCAAAATATAGACCAGAATTGATACATAATATATAGTAGGGTTTTCATAGTACTACCACTTGACTTATATTGAGCAAGCATAAGAGCATATAATGCACCCATAAATGTCAATTGATTCTCCTTAAATTAATTTTTTATTAACACATGTCATTACATGAAAACATTTCCCTATGATGTCTTTATTTTGTCTACAGAGGTGGTCGAACATTTATTGTATACTCTCTCCTAAAACCTGTTAAGTGGGGTTAATGATACGGAAACAATTATGTACAATTTAAAGATCATTTTTTTTTATTTTATTAACGGCTCAGTTTTTGGTCACATTCATTTGTTTCATTTCATTAAAAGCATCGTGACATATTTGAGTGTAGATCCAAGTGTTTTATGTGTTTATTTGTCAATACATAGTCCCTCAATCTCGAAATTGATTGGTCTCCTAAAAATAAGTTTGTCATTATCGGTAAGGTTCTGAAAAAACTGTATAAACCTGAAAGTACACATCTTATATCCTGTTCTGATTTAAAAAGAAACATAAAATATGAAATACCGTAATATATTAACATTTTAATTGAAAATGAAAAAAAATTACTTAGAATAATTTCCTGTTTATATCGGTACACAAGAAATCAAATAAACATAGGGTGAGAGGGCAGAACGAGAGAAAAAAATATTTTAATGTGTAAAGTATGCTTTAATGTGTATTTAATGTGTATGTAGGCTGATGGAACATTTGGGGAAGCACTTCCACTGATCATATTTGGAGGATCCACCATTATTGTAGCTGTGATGTCAATCAAACTGCCTGAGACAAGGGGGCGTAAACTTTTGGAGAGCGTGAAAGATGCTCAGCATGAGGATGCTCTTAAAATTGACAAGTGTGTAACCTGTGGTCCTCCTTATCTTGTAATATATATATATATATATATATATATATATATATATATATATATATATATATATATATATATATATATATATATATATATATATATATATATATATATATATACAAACATTAAAATCTAAATATAAATATTTACTCACAAACATTAAAATCTTAGACTATATTTACAATTATATATTGCTATGTTTATTTTTTCCCGTTATAGATATGATAACGACAATGTTTGTTCAGAGGACACAAGCGGCTGGAGTGAAACATCCCCGTTATGAAGACTCATCTCAGTTCATAACTTTCTACAATAGTTTAACAAGATCTCCTTGCTCTCCATGATACTTTATATAACCAAGATTATACAATGAAAGTACAACTTGGACCTTTTTAATATGCCTGTGTTTGTCTTTCATACAAATTGATAGGCTAGATCATTTTCGTACTGAACTGATGACTGATTTCTACGTTTACCCGATCATGACAAAGAGCACAAGGCAGGTGTGACCGGTCGACATGCTCTGATGTTCTTATAAGTCCGAGTTTGCTCTGCTCACAGTTTGTTTTGTTAAAATGAACTTTTGAGCATGATTACCATTTGTTATCTTCATATTTCATGCTTCTTTTTCAATGGGTGAAATTCTTCAAAATCAGCATTCAGTTTGAAATACAAATGTACTTTAACGTTCAGTCAATTGAAATGAATTTGATTTACTATACCTATACTGGATTGCAAAACGTCACAAAAACCTTAACAAACATAATTTGCAGGGTTCAGTATATGTTATGACAATTCTCTGCCTCTACTTTTCGCAAGAAATATTAACTGCTATGAAGGGGAAACTTCAGACGAACAATGCTACAACTTCTTGATTGGTTGATTTTTAACTCGTACAGAGACGGCACCATCTACCGGTGAAGGGCTATATTGAGCAGTCAGGGTTCTTTATCGTACCAACACCCACCACGACAAGGGATTTCGGTTTTTAAGATCTCATCCGAAAGACCCATGACACTACATTTGTTTACGTCTTAGGTTTGACGCGGCGCGGCGAACGGAAATCGAACCGGGCCTCCCGATCACGAAACGGACGCCCTACCACTTGGTTACCGTGACCAGTCTACGACTTACTGAAAAAGTGGTATAAATCATATATGGATTCTAAAAGCCCTGAAGTAACTAAATTTGAAATCACAAATCACAAAACTTTTGCTCAAAATTACTAACACCAAAACGTATGACTTTTCAACACTTTATACAGCCATTCCTTACGATAAATTAAAGGCATACGAGGGGTTATCAAAAAGTTCGTGGACTAGCGCCATAAAATTAAAACCGCTTTAGGTACATCAATGAATTTTAACACATTTAGTTAGCATCATCTTTTCTATCGATAGAATAAACAATAAATCATAAGTTTTATTTTTTAATAAATTGTTATTGTTTTTGTAAGCAATGGTATGTCCAAGCGGCGCAACCTCAAATATGACGTTTCTTCTACCTGAGTGTAACTGAGAAAAACTCTTTTGATATGAGCATTTGTCGTCAAAAAATCCGGTTAATCCAGGCATGTGGTACAACACAGTTGTTCCGTAAAATTTGCAATTTTTACCCCATTCTGTATATTCTATGAAATTTTATCGTAAATTTATATGGAGTGTACAAACAATTAAGGGTTCAAAAATGACGTCAAAAAGGGGGAGGGGTTTCTGTTTCCAACATTCTTTAAAGATTCGCACCTGGAAAAACTGGTATCAGACCTGGGGAATGTTTAAACGGGCTACAGAAAAATAAAACACACACAGAGTACTCGTTTTAAATAGCCGAAAAGATTCAGAGAGATGAAAGATGCACAGTTAAAGTCAATTTGTAGTGAGGGTGTCAAAAATCAGTCACGTCGAAAAGTGACGTTGATCATGTGTGGTAGAAATTGAACTCCATCAAGCTAAGTATTCTGGTATAATCAAGTGAGGATCTTTCCTTATGTATAGATACATTTACAATATTATATGCATTGAAAGCAGCTGTTCATGACATTATAAAGTCACATAAACAAGACGGACTTACGTCCTTACTAAATTCCATGCAGGTAATCACATCAAGATAAGTGTATAAGGTAGACGGAGTGGATATTGAGAAACAATGACATTGTCGGACGTCATGAAACTAAACGGCGACAGCGCCGGGTGATCATATAATGTCTTTTTTATTTTAGAATAATTTGGCAAATTATCAACGTATCAAGTTAAAATTTTCAACATTTCTTAAACATTTGTTGATTTATGTTTTTCATAAATTTTGTAAGCACAGACTACATAGTATTAATTCTATCGCATCAGTCCACGAACTTTTTGATAACCCCTCGTAGATAACTTTTTTCCCCAATAAAAACACGTATTTCTGAATTAATACCTTATGATGGGTTACCTAAAAATTACTTTGTCTATTTCTACACACTAGTACTCTAGTCATCAACGAATTTTTCAATAGCCTGCCTGGCTTTTATTGTTTGTACGTAGAACACGTTTTTGCGTATCGAATCAACTAGGAGACATAACCCCATATGCATGTGATAATGGTACATTGCTACATAGGAAAGTTGACGATAGAAAAGTTGAAGTCATCACATTTATCATACAGTTTAGTTTTGAGTTTGCCATCAATGTCTTTCTCAAGTAAAACATCTAAATATGAAACCAACGACAAGATAGGCAAATTTACAAATCCATATTTATTGAAGAAACAGTTATGTATGACTTAAGAACAAGGTACAGTTTCATTACAAATCTGGCTGTGTATTTTTCTTAAGTATGGAAGTGATGTAAGAAATTAAAATTCATCCCTTCTAAATCATAGGAATTCTATGCAGTAAGAATATATTAATAGTTTCATATGACCTCCTAAATGCTAATTGTGACGTCATGAACGTGTGCATTTTTCTATATTTTCCTAAAAAGTTGCAGAAGATATCAATTTTCAGTGGAATTTTCTTTCAGATAATATATAACACATGCATCGCCCAAAAAGATTATAGGATTTTACACAACATATCCGAATACTGAAGTGGGCATGGCTGTGGACATTGTTTTCTTAGGGGGAATAATCCCTGAAATGAGTCTTTTTTTCTGTTTAAAACTTAGAAACGTAACCAAGATAATAACGTCATATTTCCAGAATAGTCCTCCTTCTTGCCATATTCTTTCATGATGTATCACATTATATACTCAACTCACAATTAAGCCAATTTTATAACTTTTTGAAAACATTAAATTTTAAGGGCGCAATAAATCCCAAACTGTACCTTTTTCTTTATCGTAGGAAATGGTTGTATAAAGCGTCAAAAAGTCGTACGTTTTGCTGCTATTGATTTTGGCAAAATTGTTTCCTTATAAATTTTGTAGAAATTCTTTGGATTTTTCAAATCTGATTAACACCAATATGTTTTTGTACAATACTTCTGAAGTTTCTCCTTCACTGCTGTTAATATTTTCGTGAGGAGAAAAGAAAGAGGCTTCGTAGAACATTCACCAGGACACGCTCTGTAAGGATTTTAATGACGTCTAGGAATCCGGTATAGGTATGGTAAATCAAATTCAATTTGGTTGTTGGGAATATAAAAATAATATTTTATACATGATTCTGAAGAATTACTAGTACCTCCTTAGAATGGGAAGTACGTGTAACCAAGTTCCTCAAAAATGCAACTGTAATAATAAGCCTTACAAACAAAGACTATTGTTATCTGCTTTGTCAGCTGGGACCAGTACATATTGATTATACATATTGATTGTGTAATTTATTTAATTCTTTTTTTCAATTTTCCTCAATCGCTTAACACGAGATTTCAACACCCACTTTATACTTTTTTCTATTCTTATATTTTTTTATACAAAGTGTCAACGTCTTTTTTTATATTTGACCCATCGTCTGGCGTAATCATCGAGAGAATTCATAATAATTATGAAATTCTTTCGCCAGTTAAAAGATCGGGGCTCCCTAAATTTGGTCGTTTTTAAAGTGGTTTAATGTTTACGGTATCTGTTCCTTTATTGACAAATTAAAGTTTAAGCAACAGACGGATTTCTTGAGTATTCTTGTCTTCCGCAAAACATGGCGGCTTAAAAAGCCTATGATTGGCAATATCCATAATCAGCCTGTATTCTGTACTTTCTTTAGTCTTTTCATATAGACCATTTAACTTTCAAAAGGAACATAGTTTGGTGCGGATGAGACGCAGGCCTAATTGTTTGATCGACGTAAGGAAGAAATGATGCAAAGAGACATCATGTATAATAGGTTTATTGTAAGACCGATGTCCATGACTACGCTTACGACTTTTTGTTAAAAATGTCCCATCACATTCCATTTCCATTGCTATACCCTGGACTTGGAAGACTCCCCACACTGTCGACATTGTCATTGCAACCATACAGAAAAACCTAATCCATCATGTAACACAACTACGTAGAATGTATATCACATCCATATACATTACTTCTAATGAACAGGACCCTTTATATGCCAACGTATTGAATACACGTCTCTTTTTCTTAAACAAGTAAACATAAAAAATAGTTTTTTTTAGGATTTTAAAAAGCATTAAATTGTATTTTAAGAAAAGTACCAAAAACAGAAAATAACGTCAATATGATGTATAATGACGTGTAATACGTCGTGTAATAATGTCGCGCTAATGTCGTCTCCAAATTTTAGTGCATTGGGGCAAATGTAGACGAAAAATAAAGTATTTTTAGCTGTATTCGATATTGTATTCGATATTGTATATCATGTTAAATCACCATTTCGTAAGTTCTTTGGTCGATACAATGACCTTGTCAGCAAATACAGTCTATCAAAAAGTCGATGCTGACTGACGTTTTTTCATACTAATTGTTAGGCCATTATTTACACACTGAATTGCATGCGGATTTTCCCGTTTCATGACAAGGAGCACATAGCGGGTGCGATCTGTCGAAAGGGGATGCTTACTCCTCCATGGCACCTGATCCCACCTCTGACCTCTGATGTTTTTAGAAGTCCATGTTTGCTCTGCTCTCCATTTGTATTGTTTCAATGGACTTTTAAGCTTGGTTACTGTTTTTTATTTCATGTTACATCTTTGACATAGACCTTCATAAAAATGACTGATAGGTGAAAATGAGCATGTTGATTGATTGTACACTCATAAAGAGACGTCACCATATACCGGTGAAGGGCTTCAAATTTAGACCTTTACTCTACACTTAGGGCTATTGAGCAATGAGGGGTCTTTATCGTGCCACCGCCTGCCGTGACACGGGGCCTCGGTTTTTAGACTTCACCCGAAGGACCCGCAACTTACACTTCAAAGTGCCGAGCGCTTGGCGAAGGAACAGTTGATACCTATCTTTTATCGACTTAGGTCAGTCGCGGCCGTGATTAGAACACACGAAATTTCGACCACGGAGCGAGCTCTCCACCGACTGAGCTACCGTGACGGCCATGAGCATGTTGATGCGCATGTCGGAAATGTCGATGTAACAGTGCATAAAGGGAAATTTGCTTACTGATTTTACATAATATATGCTAGATACATCAGATTACGTATAATTGT